CTCAGGTCATGGTCTCAGGGTCGTGAGATCAAGCCCCGCGTCAGGCTCTGCTCTCAGCTCGGACTCTGCTTAAGACTCTCTCCCTCCTCCCCCCAGGCCCTCCCCCACTGTTCACTTTCTCAAGTAAATAAGCAAAAAACAAAGGTGTTATGTGTAATGATGTCTATAATTAAAAATATGTATTATCTAATTCTATAGTTTTTGGAACATTCACAATAATGTATCTTGGTGAACACCAGAAAAGACATCCTGCAAGTTATTATTTAGGAGAGCCCCATGGGCACAAAGTTGAGCAGGCCACTTGGCCATCACCTGCACGTCCCTCTAACCTGCTTCCCCCAAACTCAGCCCTATTCATGACAGTAACCCTTGCTAAGAGGCCAGGGTTCATCTAAAGAGGTCAACGTACACACACGTGAAGTGTAAATTGGTAACATGCTGATTAAACCCTGGAATTCTAGCTTTCTTATGGGGAACACGTGAGATTTTCTCAGGACATTTGCCCACAAATGTGTGTATAGAAAAATAATTTACCTTCAGCTCCCAGCAGCTATAAACGTCAACAGCCTTAGTTGCTCTCTCCTGGCTGGAGGACCATTTTCCCACGTGGGACACTAGCTGAGGGCTCAGACTTACATTCCTTGGTGTCACCTGACCCACAGGGAACTTGCATATCTCCGTCCCAAACTGTGGGACCATGGGCCGATCTACTGCAGGTCTAAACAGCTCTATCCAACTTCTTTTTCCTGCTTGGGTAGCTACAGAGCCCGTGAGCACATGCCCTGCCTAGACTAACATCCGGTCTGGAAGTGAAACGCAAGTCTCCTCTTCCTGGAGGTGTCACAAGTGACTTGTTACACGGGAAGGCGTGTTTGTGTGCTGTGCTTGTGTGAAGGGCAGGAGGCTTCTGGGTCTAGCCATGCCAACAGTTCTTTAGAATAGGGGGTACTTAGCATCTCCTTCACCCATCTTTGGCCCCTCTGTAATTGCCATTCTTTGAGTAACAGGAAAAGTTCAACACAACATCCTGGTATACATACATAACTATAAATACAACTTAAAACCAACACACACATAAAATAAATGGGACCAAACACAAGAGTCATTATGTGCACAGAAGAGAATATGCAGTTACCTCTGTGGTGTATGGATACACCACGTATACAGACATGTGAACTGCCAAACTAGCAGAAAATAGGGAGAAAAAGATCATCTGATTTACAGAATCACTAGTCATCAAATTCATGTTTTCATGTCAACTATAGCTCAATAAAGCTGTTGAAGAAAAAAAAATGTACAGGAAGACAATAAAACACAGGGAGGAAGAAATGGAGGAAAGACAAATACTCCTAAAAAAAAAAAAAAAGGTAGAAGGAAAGCAATCCAGTCTCCTAGTACTGAGTCATTTGCAGGAAAAATAGGCAGGTATCTAATGCAAATATCTGAGAAGGCCAAAAATCACACCAAAAATTTTGTCCAGATGATTCTGTTCTCAGATACCCAATACTTTGTATTTATTAGAGAGAAAATATGGGAATTTAGTTCTTTTAAAATGTACTCTTTATGTCCCTCAGTTTATTTTCTCCCAGACACTGCAGGCATTTATAGAAACAAGTATAAAATCACCATACATACATTGCTTTTTAAAATTGAAAACTGGAAGCACAGTACTTTATTCAATCAACAAATGGTAAAATTTGAGAAATATAAGTCCTTTAGTTCCAAAATATGGTCAGGTAGGAGAGAGGACACAGAAATGTAGGTGGACAAAATTAAACCACTGTCATGGGTATCTGTCTACCACTATCACATTTTTGAAAAGCTGTAAGATTTTATTAAACATACACACTGAAATATAATCCTACTAAAGCTTCAGAACTGAATGTGGAAAACATTTCCTCTACTTTCTAATATGTTTGGGATCATTCCGATGAAACTTTCTAACCAATAAAGTAGTACTGACATTCGGTATTACTAAATATCCTTCCCTTCTTCAAACTTCAATGGTACATTTCTTTCAACAGAAGCATTACAGTTATGTTGATTCCCTGCCTAGGAAAAGACACTTTCTCCAAGGATCTTGGCATGTTTTACCCTAAAGAACCTGCCTTGTGCTAATCGTTTGTTTTCAGTAATTCTGAGCAAATGCAGATGTGTGGCATTTTCCTGAACTGTCTCCACCCACTAGAGGTTACTACATCTACCCAAGGTGCTAGAATACCTGGCTTTGACCCACAGAACCTTGACAGCAATCGGCTCCAGCAAAATCTAAAGATCTGTACCTGATCTAAACTCTGTGGCCTGATGGGGCCCGATCCCCCACCGTAATGAAACTGGAACTCACCAACAAGAATCCAAAGCCATGACACCATGACGAGGTGTTTCCCCCACCTCAGCCATATAAACACTGTGTCTAAACGCGCACCCACGGAGGAAACTTAAGGCCAGCTTCCACCCAGGACCAGCTGCAGAAGCCCACCCCCTTCCTGACCCTGGCACTCCGATTCTAATTCCAGCCCCAAGCTCACTTCCCACCAGTGGTCTAAGACGCCATTTCAAAGAAATCACTACCATCCTGAAGTGGTGCTACAATCTAAATATCCTAATGAAGTACAACAATAACAAAGACGTACAAAATGTAAGACCAAATTTTTTAATATTAGAAGCAACAGATTTAAAGTTACATTTTAATAAATATAACAAATATAACAAAAAAATTAAAACAATTATAAAAACTGTACATTTAACTGAAAGTGTATATATAGACAATTGATATAGAAAACTGCTATTTTAATCATAACTTTTCCTATTCCCGGATGTGTATATGCATACTTTGACTGGACACCTTCAAGTTTTTAATGTGATAAGTGAGCTTGCTTCTTGCTTGTTAATTTGTCTAACCTAGGCTGGATTGAGGACAGTGCTACTCTCAGGGGATAATGGATATTTAAACTGTTCCTGTGTTTTGTTTTAATAACACTCAAAGTAGAGAACCCAGTCTCACAGAGGGATGTTGAGGGGAATAGAAGGAGGGATTTTAAAGCAACCTCAGCAAGCTCAGGATACTCATCTTTAACTTTTATCCAAAATGAAGCAAGTGATGCTGTATTTTCAAAATTCATTTTCAATCCTTCATCGGTAGCCAGCTTTAACAAGTTATCCTGTAGAGTTACAGTTAAATTTAAGTTATCTTTTGGTGAAAGAAATGGATTTTGGATCCATGAGTTTCCTACACGTGGATCTTCTTTTGTTGGAAAATATAATTCAAAACAATCCAACAAATTTGTAAGATGTTCACTGATAATTTTTCGCAGATGGGCAATGTCAAGGTCATTACCTACTTCATGGATAACTGTTGTTAAATTATGGAACATGTCATAACAATCTGTAGAAACTCTGTTTTTCCAAGCTTCTAACTTTTGTTTTTGTCCTTCAATCTTATCAGCCATTGAAAAACAGGTTGCATTCTTTCCTTGCATGGAAACGTTAAGATCATTAAAAATACTGAAGATATCAGATAAATAAGCAAGTCTGGCTGTCCAGTTCACATCTCTGAAAAGCTGGGACCAAACTGGTTTCTTGCTCTGCAGAAATACTAAGAGTTCATTTCGTATTTCAAACATTCTTGAGAGAACTTTTCCCCGAGTTAACCACCGAATCTCAGCATGCAATAACAGCTGCTTATGATCAGCTTCCATATTGTCACATAACAAAGAGAACAGTCTTGAATTTAACGAGTTAGACTTGACATAATTCACAATTTTTACTGTGTCAGTAAGCACACTGTTTAGTTCCGCTGACACCTTTTTCATAGCCAGACTTTCTCGATGAATGAAGCAGTGTGTTATTTTGCATTCTGGTGCAAGCTCCTTAATCTGGGTAACCACTTCGGAATGCATTCCTGTCATGGAGGCTGCGCCATCTGAACACAGTCCTACACAAAACCTAAATTCCAGACCACACTTGTTGACAACATAATTCTTCAGAGCTTCATACACTTCTGAGCTAGTCGTGTTTGTCGGTAAAGAGGCAGAAAAGAAGAATTCTTCCTTTATATCATCATTGTGTTCGAACCGCACATACACTAAAAGAATGATCATGTTAGCAATATCTTTGCATTCATCAAGTTGCAACGAAAAGTACTTTGCCTCTTTAATTTGCTCTATGAGTTGGTCTTCCATGTCGTTAGCCAGCTCCTGAATGCGTCGAGCTATGGTGTCGTTGGAAAGTGGCACCTGAGCCACCTTCTTCGCTGCAGACTCACCCAGCATCTCCAGGCAGACTTCTTTGATGCAGTCTTTCACCAGCGTCTCTGCGATCGTGTATGGCGTTTTAGACTTGGCAACCGGGAGCGCCACTTTGTAAGAAGCCCGAAGAGCACTGATGTTTATATGAGACACATTGAACATCTGCTTTGGCCGGCTTTTTAATTCGCTACTCTTTCTCTCAAAGAATTCTTTTGGTTGTGAACTTATTTCTTTATGTTTTGAATATAAATGCCTCTTAAGTTTTGATGGTTTCATCGCTTCATTAGCCAGTATATCTCCACAAATAATACACTGCGGTTTCAGCACTTCACCATCAATTACGGCTACAAACCCAAACTCGATATACGAGGGATCATACTTCCGAGTAAAACCTGTGTGAACTCTTCTGGTTTTCACCTGCTCTGGGCGACTTCCATCGGTACCATTTCTCTTACTGCTGCTGCTATATTCAGAAAAGGTATGTTTTTTCTTGACAAAAAAGTCCAGTGATGCTTGTTTTGCCATCTGCAAATTAGGAATAAAAATAAATAATACAAATTTTACTTTCCTCTTTTTTCTGATAACAAACTACAAATTAAAAACTAGGCTTGATTAAAAACTTAGAATGGTTTTAAAATGAAGTTATAGGGATAAAGGTTTACATTTTTCCGAGTTACAGCAGACAAAGTAGCCATCAAACATCACACGTTGTAACTGTGCTTGACTGGTGTGCAGCTCACAGCACAATGACTGGCCTTGAGAGGTTAGTGACGCCCAAACTGGCCCGCCTTCTATTCAAAAACACGAGTTCATGAATCATATGCCTGGGTGCTACAGCAATGTCAAATTGTTATTAACTCCTGATTAGTGTACTTACCCCTTTGTGGACTAGTAGAAGACCAGTGGGTCTGCAGATCACACTCCAGGTACCACTGGCCCAAATCATGTGTAACCTCCATATTTCAAAACTCTAAATTCAACACACATTAACGCTACTTTATAAAACCTACTGATTTAAAACACATCTCTTTGGCCTTATATCATGCTCTCCATTTAAATCTGAAAACTGAGCTTTTTCTCAACACAAACCCGTATCTCCAACCAGACTGATCATCCTCCCCTAAATACTTCTTCACTTGACCAAGATGCCCTTTCTTAGCTGACCTCCCCACCCAAATCACATACAATTAAAACAAAGTAACATTAAGTTCGGCTTTTCCCACATTCACCCTCCTGGAGAAACACCCTCACACACACCATCTTAGCTTTCTCCCTTCCCCCAGGAAATGCCTGACAACAGAAAGGAGTAGAAGAGATACTGTCATAACCCCAGACAACAAATAAAGCAGCATTCAAGGTTATAACTTCCAACCTGAAAAAGGAGTGGGGGGGGGGGCGGTGGGTTAAAAGTAATGGGTTTTCTCTGGAGAAAACAAACCCAAGTTGGCCCAGTGGTGCTTTAGTATCTCTACCATGCCAAAACATCCTCACCCACCACGAGCACAGTGACGTGTAACGAAGCTCTTCCCTGCTCTGCTCTGCTCTGCAACAGGTACTCAGACTCTTACCCAATCTCCTACTTTGTCTGATGAAAATGGTGTCTCTGACGGCTTCAGCATTTTGGAAGGCTGACCAGTCAAACTTCTCTGGATCTCATCATGTTTCCTTTTCATTGTCGTGGTCTCATAGCAGAGACTGCACGTTATTCTGTAAGGACAGCCCTCAGTGTCACGTTGAGGGGGCACTCCACAGATCGCATGGACGTTCCCATCACACGATACACAATTATGAGCACCTGAGCATTCTTTCTCACAAACTACACAGGATACAAATTTTACTCTCTTTTCGGCAGGGTTCTTCATGGCCCCGGCAGGAGGAGAAAGATGCTCTTCAATATCACTGCTATCCGTGCCAGTCTCAATGTTCTCTTCATATGGTGCTCCTGGCATACTTTCTAATTCTCTGTCAGCCTGTTCTAATTTGTTTTCTGGATTCAGGCTAGCAATAAGTTCTTCAGTTAACTGAGAATGACACAGGCCTAGTCTAGCTTCAGAGCTAAATGTGCCTTCAAATGGAGTCTGCTGCATGCCTCGGTGATAGGGTTGATTTTGGGTCATCTGAATGAACCATAAAAATTCAGCCCAGTGTGACGAATGGTTGGTTTGCATCCAGGAGATAATCCTATCTTGAATATCCTCATTAGTCTGATTCACAGAACTTTGGCTTTGACAAGGCAGAGGCTTCCCATGGACAATTTTCAATTCTGGCCAAATATTACTAAGTTCACTGACAATCTGGCTTGAAAATTCCCTCCCATTGTCTGATTGTAGGACACTGGGTGCTCCAATAATTGTAAAAATATCTAAAAGAGCATGTGCAACTTCCTTAGGCTTTTTAGATTTTAGTGATCGCAAAAAACTCAACTTTGTACGAAGGTCTTGATAATGCATAATAAATTTATACTCCCCATCAGGATTCAATTGCATGTCTATAAGATCCACCTGGCATCTTGAATTCACTTCCTTCATTGGCTTTGATGTTAGAACTTTCTTGAGTTTTGAATTTTTCTGTTGGCATGATCTGCAGAGTGTCAAGTATAGCATTATAACTTCCTTTGTGATGTTCTTGTATTTGGCTTGTAACTCTTTCTCCATGCGGGTACGCCCACCGTGTCCAATGCTGAGATGGGTATCATGCAGAATGTCAAATAACTCCTCGCTGTGTAAGTAATACCGCACTTTATCTGTTTCCCCATTTATAGCCTCAATCAGCCTCTCATTTCCTTGTACGAGGATCACGTCAAATCTAGCTAAGCGACGGGAGTCAACAGATTCCTTTCTTGCCTTCGCTTTAGCCTCTTTCACTTCCCTTATTAACTGACAGTACTTTGCTTTAGAAAATATCTTGGTATTATTACTTTTGTTTTCCAGTAACACTGCTAAGCTTCTGAAGAACTTCTCTCTCATGTTTTCTGGTTCAATTTCTGGCTCATTAGCGTCTAAACTACTGGGGTTACCATCACCCACGCTTTGAGACATCATGGAAAGCCACAAAAATGACCCTAAAATATAAAGAAAAAAACAATTAATGAAATACATATATTGCCCAAGTAGCCACTAGAGTTTGGGGTAGAAGTAGAGGCTATGAGCACACAAGTTGGGGGGAGTACAGTTTTGGTTAGGGAGCTCAGCCTTGGAGGAATAGAAGGTAAATGAAGAACCCCAGTCAGGAACAAAAAATTCTGATATAGTAAAGAGTAGAAAACCAGGATGTGACTTTCCAGAGCAGTATCTGGGATTAGCCTTAAAGTAAAGCATTGTTTTATATAAAACAAGAAGTAAATTGATGTTATTAATTAACTACAAAAGATAAATTTTTTTGGCTAGAAAAGCCTCAGCAATACAGTAATAAATTTTTAAAAAGATTTATTTATTCATCTGAAAGAGAGAGAGAGAGCAGGGGGAAGGTCAGAGGGAGAAGTAGACTCCCAGCCGAGCAGGGAGCCTGATGCGGGACTCGATCCCAGGACTTCAGGACAGTGACCTGAGCCAAAGGCAGTCGCTTCACCGACCAGGAGCCCCTCATTTTCTTTAACAGAATTTCTAAGTAGAATTTCCAAGTGTTAAACATCATACTGACAAAAATTGGGGCAGAGGTTATAGAAATGGCACCTATGGCTACACTGACAAACGCTTACCACAGATGCACCTCTGATTTATCCGCAGGTACTTAATTCCATTGCAAAATATCCATGGGAAACCATGGAACTATTGACTGTATTCAACTCTTTCTTACATTATTACGTGGCTGCTTGATTCAACTCCTTTAACAGCATCACACGAAACTGGCTGAGTTTTCCTTCAGCTATGTTCAGTAGGCTGCAACGGAATGAGGTTTGATAACTTCTCAGCGACCAGACCCTTCCCGCTCTCAAATCTCATCCTCTTTCCAGACTAGATTATCCTCACCATTATCCTGCAGTGGGTATGGCTCCGGAGAGTCACATTCCATTCTGTCTCCCACGGGCTGGAGCTGGGCACCTAAGGGCTCCTTTGCGGTCTCCACAGGAGTCATTTCCTCCATAGGAATTTCCGGCACATCTGTGCCCTGTGGGACCTGAGGACAAACAGGTACATCTGGAAATTAATGTACATGATCACTGCACAAACCTCAGAACAGTCTTCTACTGAAACAGTACGTAAGAAGATAAAGTCTTCACTGACTTCTTAAGAGTCCAACATGGAAGAAGAAATAAAAAATGCTGGGACTAATAAAGCCAGAGCCATGCAGCATAAACTGTCTCCACTGGACAGATACTCATCCCTGTGGTTTCTGTTTGGGGGAATAACAACAGGAACACATGAAAGGAATCTTCCCTAAACTGCGATAATTAAAAGAAAATTGTAAATAGATTTCAGTGTGAGCAATTAAAAATAAATATCTGGGGTGAGGTTATGCAAATTATCTAAGAGTTACTCATGAGCTTTTCAACGCAGAAAGAAATCTGACAGTTGTTTTAGAATAAATGTGGAAAACATCACCCCAGTGTTACGGACGGGAAAAGAAGCCAATCATTTTGGATGACTGTGCTGGATAAAAAAGAAAACACTATCTTCTTACACTAATCATCTCATATATGGTTTATAATTAAATTTCCCTAACTGTCCCCAAAATATATTTTATGTTTTTTTAACTTTGGGAAACAGTACTTATACATTGTTTTTGATTATGTCTTTTGATTCTTTTAATCTAAAAGTTTCCTGCCTTTTTATGACATTCAGTTTTTGAAAACTCAGAGCCAGTTAAGTTACAGAATATCCCACATTAGGGATTTGTCTTACTCCTTCTTCACAGATGGACTCTGGTGAGTAATTTCTGGAAGAATACCGCATAAGTGCAGTGTCCTTACTGTGGTGCGTCATAGGGCACACACTACCAAGTTATTTCATTACTGATAATGCCAAACCTGATCACATAGTTCAGGTAGTGACCTACCAGCTCTATCCATCCACTTTTCCCATGGTAATTAATAAGTCAGCTGTGGGGTAATAGTATGGAACTACATAAATAGCCTATTCCCCAATGGTTTTAGCATTCACTGCTGATTCTGATCAATTTTTATACTGGGGGTTGCAAAATGGTGACTGCTTGCCTTTATAATTCCTTCTACATTGACTAGCTAGCAATTTTCTGTAAAGAGCTCTCCGTCTCTCATTCGTATGCACCGCATGGGGAGGACAGAGGGAGAGAGAATCTTAAGCAGGCTCCACACTCAGCACAGAGCCTGAGGTGGGCTCCACCTCACAACCCTGAGACCATGACCGGAGCCAAAATCAAGAGTCAGACACTTAACCAACAGAGCCACCCAGGCACCTCCTCTGTCTCTCATCTTGAATATCACTACAGACTTATTCTGTAATCCACTCCACCCTTACTCACCTCGATCTTAAACTGTCTCCCATTTAGCCCCAGCGCCCCTTTCATCAGGTTCCTGCATCCTTGGAACATGACCCCACTAGTGTTTTTTAGCACATCTGTGCTTTCCAGAACAATAGGACCACACTGTATTTTCCCTGTCCCAGATCTAGTTTCAACTGTTTCCCCCAAGAAGGCTTGATTCATTTTAGAGCAACAGTGTTGGGAATAAAGACTGAGTAGTAGGTAGGCTCACTGATAACGGTGCATCATCCCCTCCAGGCCCTTTTATGGACAGAGCTGGTAAATATATTTCTAGATTATCATGAATTCCATTCCATTTCAGTGCCATACCTCACCTTTCCATATTCCATTTTAACATATCTTTCTCCCACAGTGAAACAAATGAAACCCAGTTCAATACAATGTTATGTACGCATTTGCTCTAACCTACAATAAACACTCAAGTTTCAGAATTACAGTGCTGTGTGTTACAGAACACTCCCAACAACATACCTATAAAATCAATTATCTCTGTGGCTTTCTATGCCCACAGACAGTGCCCCACTAAGAGTACACAGAACACTGTGTTCAAGTCACCTCAATTATTGTTTTGCTGTTATTGTTACTTTCATGTACAGTTGAGGTAACCTGTTTCTGTGTTTAATCATTTTGAATTTAACATTGCTTTTTAAATACTTAAAACATTTACATGATATTAAAAAAATCAAAATATACACTCAGAGAAGTCCTGCTCATATTCTACTCCACCCCTACTCCCATAAGAAACCATTTTTGGGGACGCCTGGGTGGCTCGGTCAGTTAAGCATCTGCCTTCAGCTCAGGTCATGGTCCCGGGGTCCTGGGATTGAGTCCCGCGTCGGGCTCCCTGCTCAGCGGGGAGTCTGCTTCTCCCTCTGCCTCTGTTCCTCCCCCTGCTCATGCTCTCTCTCTCTCAAATAAATAAAGTCTTTAAAAAAAAAATAAAACAGAGCAAGGATGAAAGTTACTTAAAAAAAAAATCAAGTTGTCATCTCCCTAGCAACAGAAATTCTGATTTCTCTTTATTTCATATACCTTACAGTGAAAAGAACACAAATAAGAGGCTCGGACTCCCCGGCTGGAGGCTCTCGGAGTGGGCTCCGTACAGTGGAAGAGACCTGGCCACTTCACATCCCTGCCAAGCCTGCTTTCTTGCTGAACAGCCTCGTGGAAGCCACACTGCAGTCAAACCAAACATTTCAACAGTCTGCCAAATAAATATTCTTGAGGACAAAACAAAGAAAAAAATCTATCAATATAGAAGAACCTGGTATGGAAACCTAATCAATCCATGCTCTGCCATATACACCTGGCATCAATTACCCATGCTCTGCATCTAACTTGCAAAATCCAAGTAAAAATTTAGCTTATCCTTTGGTGGGCATTTACAAACTTGGTTAATTCTGAAAATTTCCCTCACTAGGTCTTGGCTTGACAAAAATAATTCCTCATTCATATGACATATGAATCTAAAAATGTGCATACAAATACCCTAGCCTATCATGCAGGAGACATCACAATGGGATAAATATCTTTAATACAATTTTTTAAGATTTATTCCGGAGAAAGAGAGAAAGAAAGCGTGTGATCAGGAGGGAGGGGCAGAGGGAGAGAGAGAATCTCAAGCAGACTCCACACTCAGCGCGGAGCCCACACGGGGCTCGATCTCACCACCCGGAGATCAAGAGTCAGCCCTCAACCAACTGAGCCACCCAGGTGCCCCGTAATTAATACAATTTTTAATTGGAATATTACACGCTTAGAAAAAAGCTCACAGCTCATAAGCATAGAGCTCAATGATTTATCACAGTGAACCACCCAGAACATGATCGGCATCTCAGAAGGCTACTTGTGCCCTACTCTCTTCCCCAAAATTAACTACTACTCTGACACAGATCACCACAGAGTCATGTTGCTTTTTGAACTTTATATAAGGAAAATCATACAACATGTATTTATTTTTGTCTGGCTTCTTTGCTCAACATTATGTTTGTGAAATTCATCCACACTGTTGAATGTAGTTGTTCACTTATTTTCATTGTTAACAGTACAAATACACTGTAATTATGTTCTTGTTTCGAGTTTCTGGCAATTATAATAATAATAATGCTGCTCACTCTGAAAGTGTTTCTTGTAGATACACACCTGGAAGTAGGTTTGCTGGATCACAGAGTTTGGTTATACATGGAGATAGTTCCAAAGTGGCCAAAACAACTTATTCCTACCAGGATATAAGCATTCTAGTGGCTCAACATCCTTACCAAAATTTGGTCATGTCAGCACTTTTAATCCACACTGGTTGGAATAAAATGGTACCACATATTGTTTTAATTTGCATTTTTCTGATTAGTAAGATTGAGTCATTGTTTTACAGTTTTATTGGCTAATTACCCTTTTTTTGTACAGTGCATGTTCAAATCTTTTGTTGATTTCTTTATTGGGGTAAGTGTCCTTTTGCTTATTGGTCTGTAGTGTATTATACATTCAGATGATATTTTTGTATGTAGTTTGGACCTGGCATAGGGAAAATATAAGTCTGGAAAATATGGTTTGGACGTGATACTTTCATTGACGTCTGAGCTTGTGCTGAGATTTTCAATGCTAAGGTGTGACAAGCTAAGCAATGGAAAATTACTACGGCAAATTAAACAAGCCACGCGTATTTACAAAAAAACAAACTTTTTATCCATGTTACTATAGAAGGTGGCATAAAATGAGCATAAAAGTCCATTATAATGCACATATAAGTTCTTAATACTGCCCTAGAAATATTCATTGATAAATCTAGATGATAAAATTCCTAGTGAAGTTGTGACACAACCCCAATTACCATAAAATACTGTTGATCTGCATGTCCTGATTTATTTTAGCTAATTGGCTAACTCCCCATATGTATACACTGAAAAGAAATGCTAGCTTAAGCCATGAAAAAAACTGAAATCTTGGCATTTGCAACAACATGGATGGAACTAGAGGGTATTATGCTAAATAAAATAAGTCAATCAGAGAAGGACAATTATCATATGATCTGATATGTGGAATTTAAGAAACAAGGCAGAGGATCATAGGGAAAGGGAGGGAAAAATGAAACAAGATGAAACCAGAGAGGGAGACAAACCATAAGAGACTCTTAATCTCAGGAAACAAACTGAGGGTTGCTGGAGTGGTGGGGGGTGGGAGGGATGGGGTGGCTGGGTGATGGACCTTGGGGAGGGTATGTGCTATGGTGAGTGCTGTGAATTGTTCAAGACTGATGAATCACAGATCTGTACCCCCGAAACAAATAATACATTATATGTTAAAAAAAAAAAAAGATAGGAGGAAGGGAAAAACGAAGGGGGGAAATCGGAGGGGGAGACAAACCATGAGAGACTATGGACTCTGAGAAACAAACTGAGGGCTCTAGAGGGGAGGGGGGGTGGGGGGATGGGTTAGCCCGGTGATGGGTATTAAGGAGGGCACGTTCTGCGTGGAGCACTGGGTGTTATACGAAAACAATGAATCATGGAACACTACGTCAAAAACTAATGATGTAATGTATGGTGACTAACATAATAAAATAAAATTAAAAAAAAAAAAGAGGGGCGCCTGGGTGGCTCAGTCGTTAAGCGTCTGCCTTCGGCTCAGGTCATGGTCCTGGGGTCCTGGGATCGAGCCCCACATCGGGATCCCTGCTCAACAAGAAGCCTGCTTCTCCGTCTCCCACTCCCCCTGCTTGTGCTTCATCTCTCGCTGTGTCTCTCTCTGTCAAATAAATAAATGAAATCTTAAAAAAAAAATGCTAGCTTAAATAATCAAAGAGTTATCCTATAATTGACAATAAAACTTAGAATTAAGTGGGGTTTTCTTGCTAATTTTTGTTGGATTAGTAAAGCATATATAAATATATAACATTATATTCACTTCACTAGCTATTACTGGCATCTCATCATTTCCTATGTTAAATGCTGTTTTTTTTTAAATAAAAATGAAAGAAAAAGAGTCCATACCAACATTCAGATGTCAGCTAGTGAAATGTTATGTTTTAAAACGTACAGATTACAAATAATTTAATATTCATCAGCAATATCCATGGATAGTAACAATTTTGTTTGTAGTATTGTCAACCTACTCTCCAAAATTTATCAACTGAAAAAAGAAGTTTCTGAAATGGCTCCAGACGCCACATTTACGTTCAAAACAGGAAGTGGGAAAATACAGAACTAAACACATCTGTCCCATTTTATAAGAAAGTAAAAGCTTTCCCAGACACTCCCAGAAAACATGCCTATCTCTCCCTGGCCAGAGGTATGCTGCACAGCCAACTCAAGTACAAGGAAAGCTGGAAGGAATCATCCTGTTTTAAGGAAGGAAAAGGGGAGAACAGACACAGGTTTTCCCGCTGTCCAAGAGTAGAGCGTTCCAGGCACCTGGGTGGTTCAGTTGGTTAAGCGACCGCTTTCAGCTCGGGTCATGATCCTGGAGTCCTGAGATCGAGTCCCGCATCGGGCTCCCTGCTCAGCAGGGAGTCTGCTTCTCCCTCTGACCCTCCCCCCTCTCATGCGCATGCTCTCTCTCTCTCTCATTCTCTCTCTCAAATAAATAAAATCTTAAAAAAGAAAAAAAAAGAGTAGAGCGTTCCTATGAAAACTACTGTAAGCGAAATGGCATACAGCAAACAGTCTCCCCCATTTTCTGTAAGTTCGCGTGGGGCCACTTCGCCTGTAAAAGGACTGCATTCGTTCCTGGGTTTGCTCACCAGAAGAAATCCAGGGAGGATTTTCATTTCTATGCAAAGGAGCCATTCCTGTACTAATGCAGGTGTTTTGTAAGAGCAAGTGAGTACAGTGAAGTGGGTTAGAAACTTTCTGAAGCAGGGACACCTGTGTCCAGGTGGCAGCTGAAAATGTCTGCAACGGGGCCATTTTCCCTTTTCCAGAAATCACACAGAAACAAGAAAAATGAGAAACACGTACGCAAACATAATATTCTCTAAGACAAGGGAAATTCCTATAATCCTGAATTGTATGAAAAACTATCAAATGTGAACATTACCCAGAACTGACCAAACACCAAGTCCTACCAATGGCTACATTCTCCACAAAGCTAAAAGAGGGAAATTCTAAAGTAACAGGCACATCTTATGGGAAAAACCAATATTGTTTTTTTGAAACAAAGGGAGAAGATGTACTGGCTAGAGGTAAGAGACTGCTTATATAGACATCTATGTCAGAATATGTGAACTCATGAAAAAACATGCTTTCTGCAAAACTGCACAAAAAAATAACAAGGTTTATGGAGAAAATAAAGTTACGGGGGGGGCGCCTGGGTGGCTCAGTGGTTAAGTGTCTGCCTTCAGTTCAGGTCATGGTCCCAGGGTCCTGGGATCGAGCCCTGCATCGGGCTCCCTGCTCTGCGGGGAGCCTGCTTCTCCCTCTCCCACTCCCCCTGCTTGTGTTCCTGCTCTTGCTGTCTCTGTCAAATAAATAAATAAAATCTTAAAAAAAAAAAAAGTTACAGGATAGACTACCGAACATCTACACTGTCACTAGAGCGCTAATAAAACTATAGCAATTCTACTAAAAATAAAAGCATAGGTATTATAAAGAATGATCACACTTCATACAGGACTTGACTCGACAAAGGTGAAACTACTGTGTTAGGAGGAGGTACGAGGAAAGGATGGAGCAAGGGGCAGAGATGCGGCCTTCAGACGTCCAGGTGGAGAAGCATTTGCACATTTTCCAAGAAATGCAGTGATTTTAGAAGAAATATAGTAATGGTTCTGGCTCATCATCTTTTTACTTCTTCGGCACTGACTTATAAAAAGATACCCAGTTTTTGCTGCTTAAACATTTTCCTTCGTTCCTAAAGCAGCAGCTTCTATGGTTCCGAATAGGACCTTACATGGAAGCACAATCCCGATGCGTTCTGCGTTACCTTTGGCTCACTGCCACGCCTTCTCCAAGCACCTAAAGTAGAAAGTGACGGAGAAGTGAACAGCTCCTTCGGGGCAGCTTCTTCCACACCTTCCACCTGTGCCTGAGCAACTAACTGTTGCAGCTCTTATGTGTAGAGATTTTCTGCACAGGATTGCAGCAGCTCCCCACTTCCCAGATTCAGCCTCCTCTGCCAGAGCAACTCAGCTTTGCTTTGGGAGCGCTCTTGAGAAGGTTCAAGGTCTTTGGAATCATGAATTAAATCAATGAGAATTTTATGCTATACTCCAAGTAAGCAGGCTTCCGTGACATCATTCCAAACCTCTTCAATAGTATCAATGGCAAGTTTAATGTTGAACTGATTCCAAATGCAAAAATTGTGTGTGCATTTCACCCCCTGTAGGTGCAATAAACATCTTGAACGTCCACCTTAAGTAATAAGCATTAAAGGCTGAGATCCCTGATCAAGGGGCTGGACTAAAGAAGTTGTATTAGGAGGGGAAAAGAGAACTTTAATATTTGAAGAAAGCTCAGCAACTAGTGGAGAATGGCTTGGATTGCTTATAATTTTTAAGAATTAAAAGAACTTTGAAAGACAGTTTTTTCCCTCTTACACTTACTTTCTTAAATCATCTACAAAAACATCACCTAAAAGATCAATAAATATCTGCCCTGTTATGCAGCCTCTCTTGCTTGAACTATAGTAGGCTAGTCCTTGCAACTCCTTTCAAAGCTTGTGGGTAGGGCGCCTGGGTGGCTCAGTTGGTTAAGCGACTGCCTTCGGCTCAGGTCATGATCCTGGAGTCCCTGGATCGAGTCCTGCATTGGGCTCCCTGCTCAACAGGGAGCCTGCTTCTCCCTCTGACCCTCCCCCCTCTCATGTGCTCTCTCTCTCTCTCTCAAATAAATAAAATCTTTAAAAAAAAAAAAAAAAAAGCTTGTGGGTAGGCAATGTGATGAATGACAAGAGGCTTTAGCTGTACATCCGCACTGGCATTTGCACCCAGCATCACACCAGATGGGTCTTCTGCAGCCTTCAGGCCTCGAGTGTGTGCTTCTTCCTTCGAGATACAGGCTCTTGAGGGAATCTGCTTCCAACAGAGACTGGTTTCATCAGAATTAAAAATCTGATCCCATGTACAGCCTTCATCAGTCAAATTTCTTAACACTGGGGGAACTGTCTACACTTCTCTCATCTGCACTCACAGCTTCACGAGAGTGAAGTGAACATTGCGGAAGGCATGGTGGTTCTTGAAGTCACGGAACAGACACTACCCCTAAATAAAGGCACATCTGCAGGATCTCCAGCTTTTTTCTTAAGGTCTTCATGTCCTGCTAAGACCTTCTCTTTATTCTGAGAAAGGCTGCCTCTGATTGCTTCTGTGTTTGGTATTCAATCCACACACTTGACAGATGTGCCATTTCTTCCATTTCCTCACGCCTTGTTCTAACAAACTTTGTAGCACTGATTCCAGCAAGGTAACTTTCTTTCATTTTCCCAGCAGTCTCTGACTCCTTTATGCCAGGTGCACAATTAGTGTCATAGGTTCTTCCATTTTTTTTGAAGCATTTTCTAATTTCGAGCTTTTCTTCAATTGTTAAAGCTTTTCTTCTTTTATGCTTACTAGCAGAAATTTTATCACCAGCACATTCCTGTGGCACTTGTAAACCCGTGCTTGCTCATTTTCTGGAATACACAAAAGTTTAACAAAAAATGCACAAAGATGGGAGGGAACCATACAGATAAGCATTTCCAAAACACAGAGTGTGGCCAAGAGAGCCCAGAGGAAGGGTGTGGAGGTGAATAGGCATTTGGCACAGTACTGTATGTCTTCACAACGTGCCGCCTCCACTATTTGCATTCAGCTGCTCTTACCTGATCGCTTCTTGGCCTTTTGGCTAAGATCAAGTGCAGCTGCTCTTACCTGGTGGCCCAAAACATGTACGTGCTGGTAAAATTCATGTATGAGTCAGCACAATTGCAGCATTATATGGACTCATGTGCCTATTTATCAGTCTCATAGGAAACACATGCATTTCAGAAAAATGTGTTTTAATAGATCAGACTGTATACATATAATGTTCCTATTTAAAGGGTTCAGATAAATGTATGGATAGTGTCATTATAGAAATGTAAGAGTGTTTGGCAATATCCATCACAGTCTAAAATTACTGTCCTAGAAGGCAAGTATACTCCCTTAAAAATAATCTCTAGTGCGATGGTGAAAGACCAAATACTGAGCTCGACACACTTCCCATACCAACAACTCCAAGTAATGGAAAGTATCTAGAAAATGATGCAATGAATCTCTTTGTTGTACTGATGAAGACATTAAAGCTGAGGGAAGGTGTGATATGTCCAAGGTTACACAGCTCGTTGGTGACAGAGCCTACTATGGAATCCAAATCTCATCACTCACCGTTTCCGGTATTTCTATTACAGTTGGCTACTTCTCTATTTGTCTCTCCTAGATGGTATTCCTTATATTCTCACACCAATTTGTTTTCATACATGGTTACCGTAGTGGGTACCATAAGAAGAGACAGCTACTTTAATTTCACAGTCACTAAATAAGATATAATTCTTACTGGTAAGCAACAGATCAAGGTTTCCCACGTGGTTAAATCATCTACTTATTTGGGTCAGCTATCACTCACATCAACAGTCATCCCACAATTATGAATGTGTTCCAACAATAACGCAGCTACCCGCGGGAAGTTGATGATGGCACGTACTCCACCTTGGACCCACGCACTCAAATTCTCCAGGGAAGCTGGCACCTGCCATCTCTCACCTGCTGTCGAGGCTCATCCAGCTCCCTCTCCAGATCCTCCAGCACAGTCACCGCCTCCTCCCCGCTCTCCGGGTGCTGCTCCCGCACCCAGGCCTGCAGCTCCTCGGGCAGGATGGTCAGGAACTGCTCCAGCACCAGCAGCTCCACGATCTGCTCCTTGCTGTGCGTCTCGGGCCGCAGCCACTGACGGCACAGCTCCCGGAGCCGGCTCAGCGCCTCGCGGGGCCCAGGAGTTTCCTGGTAGCAGAACTGCCGGAAGCGCTGGCGACAGAGCTCCCGGGTGGGAGCCACATTCTTCTGTAGGCAGGGCTCCTGATCCCAAACGTGGTCTTCTTCTTTAACCTTCACCCTGATAATCTCCGCCTGTTCCCCCGCAGCCTGGCCAGCCGGGGCCGGGAAGACGCCGGAGGCCGCGGCCATCCTGAGCTCCGACAGCTCCGACCCGGGTCCGGGCAGGTGCGCGGTCGGCCTCGTGCGCCGCCCCCCCCCGCTGGGCGGGAAGTTCTCGTGAACACAGGGCGGCGGCCGCGGCGCAGGACTTGCGTCCGAGACAACACAGGGCACTACTGGAGCGAGTCCCTGGGACGGGAAGCCAGGCTCCGCGCGCACCGCAACGGCGAGCACAGGACCGCGCGCCGCGCAGCACGGGCCCCGCCACGCCGAAACCCGACGTGACCGAGGCCGCTTCGGGCCTCCTGACGCCCGGGAGCCGGGCGGCCACGGCGCGGGCAAGGTCACTCCGGAGCCGAGCCCGGCGGCCAGCACAGCGGCCGCTTGCACACCCGCTGCCCTCAGCCGCAGCTCCCGCCTCCGAGGAGCGCAGGTCGGCCGCGCGACGCCCCAGCCGCGGGCCCAGGGCCACCCTCCCGGCCAGCCGGGCTCCCCGACGCGCCCGCCGCCGCCCGCGCGCGCGCGCACTTCCGGTCCGCTCTAGGACTCCGGGCGGTGCGAGCTCTCGGTGGTCGTGGCCGCGGGCGGCTGCGCCGCGGGCCTAGGGCCACCCTCCCGGCCGGCTGGGTCTCCGACGCGACGGCTGCCACCCGCACGTCCCCGCCGGCCGGGCGCGCACTTCCGGTCCGCTCTAGGACTCCGGGCGGTGCGAGCTCTCGGTGGTCGTGGCCGCGGGCGGCTGCGCCCCGGAGCGAGCGCTGAGGAAAGCGGGCGCCGGCGCCGTCCGCGGGGCGTTCCACCGGCTCCAGGCGGCTCCGGGTTTTCTTGGCAGTCGGACGCGGGTGCGAGGGCACCCCTGCGGCGCACGGCACGGCCGCGAATTTGCGGGCTGCACCCCCGTCCCTCCCCGGTCGCCGCAAGCTTGAGAAGGCACTGGAACACCCCGCGTCATCTCTCCGTTTTACGGGTGCGGAAGCCGCGCGACCCACAGACACGGCGCTTCCCCCGGCGGCGGCGGGTCCGCCCTGAGCCGACGCCCGAGCCACCGTGCGCGTTCCCAGAGCGCGGGACGTCCCGCCCGCCGCGTGCTCCCTCGGGCCGCGCGCTCCGCGGCCACGGCGTCGGCAGGTGCGCGCAACGGCGCGGCTGGAGGAAGGCCGGGCGAGCGCGCGGCGCCAGGTCCGGGAGCAGCCGCAGCACCGCCCGCACCGCGGTGCCCGCCCCGGTGGCGCTGCCTCCTCCGCGCCCAGCCGGCCGGGCCAGCAGCCGCGGCGCATGATACACCGCGAGGGGAGTTTGTTGGACGGCTGCATGGCTCCCTCTCCCGGTTCTCGCTTCCCTTCTACTTCGGTCCCTATTGATGATTCACATTTTGGCATTTCCGATTCAAGAGGCTTTGAAGAATCAGGACATTTCTTTTGGAAATCTCTAAACTAAAAATTGTTGGTCTTGGGTGAGTCGCTAAATCCGGTGAAATTGTATATAAATTTTTTGCTGTGTGCCCTCGTCAGTGGATCTTCAAAGGAGCCTCCCAGGTTCCTCCCGCTGTGAACGCGCGGCATTTATCTTCGGTGGTTTTCCCCGCGCCGATGGCTCCCCTCTGCAGTCACGGGTCCATCTTCTATCCCTTTCGTCTTCTGAGGGCTCTGATCGCGGCCGCGCTGCGCACAGGACGCGGCCAACATGGACTAAACAGGACTTCTAAGTCCTCTCTGGAAGGCTGTTAATTTCTTGGTAGATTGTCACTTTTAGTATCAAAAGTGATAGCACCTGTAAACAAAAGAAAAATTGTATCGCAAAGGTGAACATGGCAAAAAAATGAAAAACTCCTTTATTCCCGAATTCCATTTCTCAGAAAAATTCAGACCGAGTTCGGTGTATATTCCTCAAATCTGTTTAAAAATGAATATATAAACTCACAAATTAAGACATAAAAATTACATCATGCTATATTACAATTGAGAAATTGCTGGGTTTTGTTTGTTTTAAAGTAAATCCTCTCCCAAAACTGCCAAGCCAACATGTCAGTACCTACCTCTATTCCAGTCTTTTTAGTAGCAGCTATTATTTCCGTTAAGTGGATGGGCACATTGTCAAATTTCTGATACTGCAAACTGTTACAATGAACATTCTTAAGTATTTTTATTTTTAATTTTTTGTACTTAAAGGAAAAAATTGTTGAGGGAGATTATTTTGAAAGATATTGCCAAACAGCCTCTCAGAGAAGTATTTATCATGACCCCTCACTTGCACACGCTCTTTGCAAGACCCTGGAAGGGGTAGCCCTGTATGAAACATGTTTTGTAAAAGTGCCAAAGTATATTATAATGGAAATTAGTTAAGACTGCTGTCTCTTGGGCGCCTGGGTGGCTCAGTTGGTTAAGCGACTGCCTTCAGCTCAGGTCATGATCCTGGAGTCCCGGGATCGAGTCCCACATCGGGCTCCCTGCTCGGCGGGGAGTCTGCTTCTCCCTCTGACCCTCTTCCCTCTCGTGCTCTCTATCTCTCATTCTCTCTCTCTCAAATAAATAAATAAAATCTTTAAAAAAAAAAAGACTGCTGTCTCTTTCATCAAAATGAATATAACCTAGGAATAGGTGTTTGATTAGAAAATGCAACTTACTGTGTTATTAGGGGTGTTAAGAAAGTCTTATTCTTTACTTTTTTGATTGTCATCATCTGTGCAAATCCTGAAAACCACTAACTTTCTCAAACTTAATATCTGAAAGTCTCATAAAATCAACCTAAATAATTACCTTATTAAGACAATTTATGAAACTTTAATAGGGTCTTACAGTGCCAAGGGTGTGTATTATTGTGAAAGTAAAGCCTCACAAAGCTAAATAAATTTTTTTCCATACCTTGAAAAAAAAAATTAAGACTGCTGCCTCTTTCTACGGCATCTTATCCTCAGATACATCATATACACCTTAGAATGGCTGTATCTAATTTTGTGTTGATAACGTCTATTCTTTTTCTTAAACAGGACCGGCTAAGTTGTGTAGGCTGCAGACCTCACAAAATCTGGATAGCAACAGAAGCGGGGTGGAGAGTGGCCCAACTGCCTTGACTTAAATTTTGCTCATCACCTCTTCAGCAACAACACAGCGTCAGATTTCATTATCAGCTTGGTCCCATGGAAGCCTGACCGACCTCTGGGTTGGAGCTACTGCATTTACTCTGAGGAGATACTTAACCACGACTATGGATAGGTGTCTGTCCCAACTAGAATCAAACAGAAGAACCAGGGACTTAAATTCCATTTTCAAAAGTTCACCTTCCCTGGGGCACCCATCACCTTCAACATCTCCAAGTACAAAGGTGTCCCCCGGAGCTCTCAGCCTGTGCCCTGCATAGAGGCAGAGACGCCAAGCCCCGCACCCAGGGAATTTCTCACTCTCGCAGCTAGGAACACTCATCCACCCTCTCTGCTTCCTCCTCATTCCCACCACCTACCCCACATTCCTGGAGGGCAGCCTGGAGGTGGCAGGACACTCCGCACTGGTGCCCCAGTCTGACACAGGCAGCACAGGGTGGGGTGTCCTCGCACCAACAAACATGACAACTGAACCATCCTAGCTGAGACTCAGAGACAGAAAATGTGCTCGAGGAACATTATTCTCACTGTGTAGACAGGATAGAGTTGGAAGTAAGGATCAAACCTAGAAAGTCCGTATACTCATTTTACCTTTAGGATGAAGACAGAAACAGGCCACAGGAAGAAAAGATTTCCTTCCAACAAGACAAGAGCTAAATTAGGAAGAGAGAGGTATTAAAAAAAAAAAAAAGGAAAAGACAGATATCTGTTTTGTACAGGTGAATCTCTTCTATGTCATAAGGGGCAACCTTTAAATCCAGTGACCTATTTTCAGATTCCTTTTTATTTCAACATTTTAATGTTCTCCTAACAAAGTCAAGCCCTACTCTCCCCAACTCCGGTGATTCGTTAGACTACAAATATTTATCAGCTCCTATGATGAATTACCATTGGTTACACAGAAATTATATAACAAATGAAGGCTACTAAGCTTATGAGAACATCATTTTGGTTCCCGCTGGGGGTGCTTGATGGCACCTCCACTTACGTGGTCTGTGATAATGCTATCTGCAAAGGGAAATAACCTCTCTGCTCGGGCTGCTGCCACAGCAGGTGTGGCCCTGCCTTCTTTCCACCTTGTGGATGCTAGTGTGATGAGACCTCCCCCAAAGTGTCTTCTCTCTTGTGAAATGGCCCGAAGGCCTTCCCCGTCTGGGAAGTCTGTACCTGCAGTCCCTCTCCGAACCAGCACCACCGCCAGCCTGTGGTGTCTCAGCCATGCAGCACCGACATCCTCACCAAAACACACTCAATAGCACAAACAGACCCCAGACTTCCGACTGCCCTCCTGGAACTTTATGAGTGACAGGAACAGAAGGAAGAAATACTTCTTAAATATTGAAAGAGAATTTAATGACATAATCATTGTGATCATATCCAGCATCACGGACCCACTTGTCTTAGCTCAAATCCATGAATTCAGACTTTATTCCAATCCTCTAAATTCAGGTAATGGAAGAGGCCTGGGTGGAGGGGTGTCTGCGCCTGAGTGACCCAGGCCTGGGGAGAAGGCCCCGGAGCAAGTGCCACAGGGAGGCAGAACCGGCCAGACACACAAGAGAGGCTGGGAGGGCATGTGGATACTTAGGCTGGTACCTCACAGGTTCCGTGGCTCTCCTGTGCCTTTAGGAAGCTGAGGGAACCTCTAGGGGTGTTGACAAGGACTCCCTCCTTGACCAAACAAGTGAGGTTCTTCTGAGCCTTCTTCTGAAAGAGGCTCGCTCCACCCTTGGCTGTCAAGTCCAGGTTAATAAAGAATCCTATGGAGTCCAGTTTGTGCAAGAATCCTGCTAAACCAGTTTAGGTGGGAAACCCCTACACTTGATATCAAATCAAGTTCCATCTACTCCACTAAATATTTAATCAAGTTTTTTTGTTTTTTTAGCAATTTTCCATCCAGTGACTCTCTGTCCCTGCCCACTGGCTGTTAAGAACCTAGCTGCCCCAGTTGTATTCCAAGTTGAGTTCAATCTCTGTCTTCTATTGCAATAGTCTTAACTTAAGCCTGTTTAACTCCATCTGGTGCAATTTTTCTTTGATAATTCCCTCAAAGAACTTACAGACACATCCTGGGAAAATGTGTTTTCCAGAGAAGAGACCTAACTCAGGATTTGAGGATGCAATCAGCTATGTAGAGGTGTGTCCAGAGTAGAGTGAATGAATTAACGGTGGCCAGTCATCTGAGGATATGAAAACAGCTTTTAAAATCTGAACAAAATAGGAGAGATGTGGCTGGAAAGACGGAAGATAGGAGCAGCTTTCCTGGGCTGAACATTTACAGAAATAGAATTCTGGGTGGTTAGATGTAACATGTGGACACCTAAGCCAGATACAAGGCTTTAAGGTCAACAGAAAAAACATCTGAATGCTTTATTAAATCACAGATTTGAAAGCACACTCCCGGAGATCATAATTTTTTTTAATTTTTTTATTGTTATGTTAATCACCATATATTACATAATTTATTTTGGTGTAGTGTTCCATGATTCATTGTTTGTTCATAACACCCAGTGCTCCATGTAGAATGTGCCCTCTTTAATACCCATCACCAGGCTAACCCATCCCCCTACCCTCCTCCCCTCTAGAACCCTCAGTTTGTTTTTCAGAGTCCATCATCCCGGAGATCATAATTTAATAGATCAAGAGTGAGGCCCAGAATTCTTCATTCACAACAAGGACTTGAAGCAGCCCAGAGATCATACTTCAAATATTGCTCTCAGCTCAAATACATAAATAAATAAATAAAAATTCAGATGAATTAAAACAAAAACAATTCTATATTTTTTATAAATGTGAGAGGTATTCTGACATAATAAGTGAAATGGGAGTTAAATTGTACTGTAATATCACTTTCACCTACTAAATGAACAGACAACTGAAAGTTGACAACATACCATATTGGGGAAGGTGAGCGGACAAAGACTTCACTCATTATTGGTTGGGAGTGTAGACTAATAAAATTCCTTTGGTGGGCAATTTGGCACTATGTCGAAATATTTCAAATGCATATATCCTAGGACGCAGCAAACTCATTTCTAAAAACATGTTCAACGTTTTACAGATAAACACATTCAAAATTACATGTTGGGGGCGAGGGGACACTTTAAATTAGCAAACCTGTTGAAATTGCAGTACAGTTAAAATCTGGCTGAAAATATCGTGCAAAATACAGTGTAAGCAATTTATTTTTTTACCTATCTCTGTGGATGACTTTATCATTTAAGTTAGGCAATGTTTTTCTATCGCCTTCAGTTAAGTATCCAGCTGCTTCTTCAGAAGACC